TTTACATTTGCTCCTATCAACATTTAAACAATTGAGTTGCAGAGTTAAAAACAGATTTGGGCCAGGCACAGTGGCTCACACTTGTAACCCCAGTAGTTTGGGAGGCCGAGGTGGGCAGATCACTTGAGGTCAGGAGTTCGAGACCAGCCTGGTCAACATGGTGAAACCCCATTTCTACTAAAATACAAAAAATTAGCCAGGTGTGTTGGCGGGCACCTGTAGTCCCAGCTATACTCAGTAGGTTGAGGCAGGAGAATTGTTTGAACCACGGAGGCAGAGGTTGCAGTGAGCCAAGATCGCACCACTGCACTGCAGCCTGGGTGACAGAGTGAAATTGTGTCTCAATGACAACAACAAAACAACAACAATGACAACAACAACAAAAAAACAGATTTGATCCTAAAGATCAACTGATTTCAGAGCCAACCCAGTCCTGTTAAATTTCTCTCACGGAGTCTCCACAACTTCTGGTCATTCCATCCAGTCTCCAGGGCATAGTTAGGAGCTCAAAGCCCCAGCACAAATATATCAGAACAGAGGGAATGGGACAGCCAAGGAGGCATCATCTTTTTTCTATTGATTCTTTTAAAGCCTCTACAGATAATTGTCTTCATTAAGATAGGGTGAAAATATTTCCAAAAGGAGATTAGATTAGGTGAATCCCTGGGCGTTCAACATCAATACTCTCTAAAATTCATTTTTACTTTTCTACTTTTGTAGCCCAGAGCCAGACTGATTTAATTTCTACTTCACACAAAGACAAGACAGGAGGTGAGTCACACAGTTGGCAGTTGATTATGAATCTTGATTGAAGATGTGGCTAATCAGTCATCCTACCCTGCTTTTCCTTGGTTTTCTATCTGTTCCTCTTTAATGTTTGTGTAGCAGACAGATGCTATAGTTTATCTTATCCTATCATGTTATCTTTTCTTATTTTTTGAGACAGAGTTTCGCTTTTGTCACCCAGGTTGGAGTGCAATGGCATGATCTCTGCTCACTGCAACCTCCGCCTCCTGGGTTCAAGTGATTTTCCTGCCTCAGTATCCCAAGTAGCTGGGATTACAGGCGTGCACCACCATGCCTGGCTAATTTTTGTATTTTTAGTAGAGACAGGGTTTCACCATGTTGGCCAGGCTGGTCTCGAACTCCTGACCTCAGGTGATCCACCCGCCCAAAGTGCTGGGATTACAGGTATGACCCACCATGCCCAGCAGATGCTGTGATATTTTAATGGCTGAAAAGTGGTGTCAGATTTGATGATGGTGATGAAGAAAATAATTTTCATAATTCTTAAAGCATATGAACTTTTTTGAAAGAGAATAAAGTCAACTTAGTAAGAATAACATTTAAAGGTATGAGAGGATATAGTAACCCTTGAAAGACCAACCTTAAGAGACTTCTCTGATAGCAAGAAAAATAAAGAAATAAAAGAGTAAACACCAAGAAGTGAAAAAGAGCTTTCCTGAGACAACAAACCACAATGCGGGCATTACACAAATGGGAGTTATTTTTATCCTGCCCATTTTGGGATTGATGAAAAGAATAAGAAAAATCTAAAAAGAGTAATGAATTTAAAGTAAAAGAAAAAGCTTGCTTCCAGTTCCGGCTCTAACACTCAACAGCTGAGAGATACTGGCGAGGGTGACCTCACCTCACTATGCCCCCAGTGTTTTGTCTGTGAAGAAAGGTGGTACCTGCCTGACTACCTCCCAGGATTGTTGTGCATGTAAACAATGACCAAAACAACAACAAAACAAACAGAAAGGAGTCTATATTTTTTGGAAGATTGAAAGTGCAATGCAATCCTCAGCTGTTTATTATAATTTTTCTCTAAAGTGCTAGTTAGTGTTTATGAGTCTGGGTAACTAACAAAAACTCCCCTGGAACAGCTGACTAGCAAAATATTTTTGTCTCTGGGGTGAAAGAAAAACAACAATGCCATTTTTCTAACCTCGGTTATAAAAACCCTAGGCTGGAACATGTAAATCAACTTACTAAAATAGACACACATTGGAAATGGACTCAGGCTGGGGAGGAGGGTATCATCAGGTGGCAAGATTTATTTATTTTTTGTCAGTTGGGAGAATGTCAAAGAGCAGGGTGGATCCATGGAAATAGCATTAGGGAACAAAATACATTTGGAGTCAGTCCCAGCTCCTTCGCTGACTATGTGACTCTGGGCAAACGATGCACCTCCTTTGACCCTTTAAATTTCTTACCTACAAAATGGGTAAAATAATGGATGTAATAATACCTACCTTACAGAGTCAGCACATGGATTAAATTAGATAATATTATGAAGCGCCCAGTGCAGAGCCTGGTACATGGCAGATACTCAATGAATGTGAGTTTTTCCCCATTAGTTTCCTAGACTACACACTTGTTTACTATTTTCACCTATTCCATTTCTTTCTGAGATACTGTTGACCTTGTAGCCTCCCTGTATGCACCAGAGCACCCTGCATAGAGGATTCCTTTAAAATATTTACGTAAATTCTGTCTTTACTCCATTAAGTCTATCTGATTATAATAAAATCACTCATTCTTTGTCTTATGTTAAATTATTTTATTGATCCTATAAAAGTGTCTCATAAAATTTAGTAGGTAAAGATCTAAGATGCTTGATACAGCTGCTGACCCTTAAGTTGTAAATATGGAACACTAAACCAAGGGGAAATTCAGAGAACCTTTCCAATTGCTTACTCCATTTCTTCAGAATAACACCCAAATAAAAGTATTACATAAAAAAGATTGCATTTTATTTTCCTGGATGGGAAAGGATTAACACTAAGCAACAGTGCCTGAAAGTTATTATTATGGTTTGTGTGTATGTGTGTGTGTGTGTGTGTGTGTGTGTGTGTGTGTGTGGATGGTACTCAACCTCTTTTCCTTCAGTAATTCCAGTTTTTTTTCCACTTTTTTTAAAGAAGGTAGTTGCTCTTCTTGGTCCAGTGAAATCCTCCAAATTCAGCTAAATGTAACTTCTGGGAATTCTCAGATTACATATGGGCCCTCCGTCCTCAACCTAACACCCAGCAGAAATTGTTTATCTTTCCCTTGTACATCCTAACATTTTGTCTATACCATTGGGTACCTTTGAAATCAAGCTGTACCAAGGATGTCCAACCTTTTGGCTTCTCTAGGCCACATTGCAAGAAGAATTATCTTGGGCCACACATAAAAAACACTAAACACTAACGACAAATAATCTCAAAAAAAAAAGTTCCAGGCATAATTTTTATAATATCCGCCACCACAGATAAGCAAAAAAGTCCTTGCATTCAAAGGGTTGGACATGGCTGTAAGTCTATACTTTTTACATGGTCCCAAGACATAGCACACAGTTTGGAACAGAGGTGGCATTTGTGTGAATTTTGGTTGAAGGTGTGGATGATCAGTCCTCTCTTCCCCTTATTTCCTGTTGGCCCTTTCTTAAAGTTTGCAGTGTGTGACCATATGGTGCTATTTTAAGAGTTTGAGAAGTGGGTTAGATATGATGTTGGAAGAAAGACAACCATTTGACTTCCCCTTTCCATCTTCCCTGGGTTGCATCACTGTTTTAAATTATATCACAGAAATTTCCGTTATAATTTCAAGAATAGTATATACTGTCAGCATTACATTTGAAAAGGATTAACTTGAAATGCTTCTTAAACAGTACACAGAGTACCTTATTATCTGATAGTCACTTTCTCCAGCAAAATCTTGGATAATTTTTTGACATTATCTTTGTTGCCCCATGGTGACTTACGAGGCATGCTCCAGAAAATTCTCTATTAAAGAACAGAGGTTCCAATAGTGCCAGCCAAAATTTCATAAAGTTTATTTACAATGTGATTCATTCCTGGAGTCCATCATTCTCTATCCATTTAACTCATGCAATCACATTGAATGTTCACAGTCTATATTACTGTTCAAATTCTTTCAAATACTCTGTGTACCGTTGCAATGGTAATTCACAAGTAGAAGTGAATAACATTCCCCACCACACGGATCCTTGAAGGAAACTGAAAACAAAAGCCGTATCTTTGTTGAATCCAGTTTGCTCACATTTCAACACACATAACTCCACTGAACTGGCCATCACAGCAAAAGCCACAACACACACACACAGCAGCATGGAGCTTAACCACACAACTCAACAGACAATGCAGACAAACTTGAGTATAAACCAAGATTTTTCTACCTCTTTTCATAACAGGTTAGTGCTGGCCCTCAGTGTTGGTGTACAGTTTTTATGGCATGGGAAAATAGGGATGTTTCTGCCCTATAAAAATAAATGTGTTGAAGGCTTTAGTTTGAGCTTACACAATGTCAGAAAGTTCCAAAGGCACTGGCACAATACAAAAAAAAGAATCTTACAAACAAATATATATCATCAAAACACATGGCAAGATACTAGGAAAACACTGGTAGGAAAACTACTGGTTTCTCAGGTGATTTATGCAACAGTTTTCAATACCTTCCTGAAAAATAAGGAGTAAGAAAGGCAGGCTAGTGGGTCTTTGGTGGGGTATATCTTGTCACCAACCACCACTCATATAAAATCTTTAGCTTTAAACTGCTTAGTAGATCATTTTCTCTCTGCAGAAGTAAAAAGCATAGAACCTTCATTGTTCTTAATATTTTAAGCCTCGGGAAGGGCTAAGGGAAGGAGCATAGAAATACATGCACTATCTTTAATAGAGAAAGGAATATGAGGAATAAAAATAAAAATATAAAGAATAATTATTATTCCTTCCTTTTATATATCGTAATATAAACTTCTTTTCAAACTTTAGTTCTGTACAGATACTTGTTCACATGTAACATCTTTTTCTACTCTGGAAAGGGACGGGACAGAAAGATAAGCAGAAAACATGAAGTTCTGAATTTGAATAAAAGAAACACTTTTGCTGTTACATCAAGAATGCAAGGTGGGCAACAGGGCTAGAAATAGGAAAATTGGAAAAATTTCATTGGACTTAATGATTCATAATTCCTCAAAAAACAAAACTTACCACATTCTGTGCAAATTTTTCAAAAGATGTTCTGCGATCCATTGAGTTTCCAGACTTACGTATGTGGGGTAGGATAGGGTGAAGGGAAATAAAGGAAGATTAAAAAAAAAAAAAAAGCAAGGAAAACAGAGCAGAAAAAGACAGGATAATGAAATGATGCAACGCCAAATCCATGTTCTAAATCAGAAGGCCCATAGAGGTAGGAGAGCCGCCGAGGGAGGCTTCTTCTCATAGGACATCGGCTCCGCTTTCATTAGTGCTAACACCAGAAACTTTTCTTGTACAAACAAAATGGTGTGATTCAAGCAAAATCAAATTAAGCCGAAATGAAGTAGATATGTGAAGGCTTTATACTGACATTTGCAGAGCCTAAATATTTAAAAATCTAGCAGCATATCCTCAGAATTTCCTCAAAACTTTTATCAGAAAAAATTTCTGTTGACAACATCATTAATTCTATAGAGCATTAATGTCTAACAGAACTTTCCAAAAGGATGGAAATCTCATTCCATGCTGTCCAATACAGAAGTCTGTAGCTGTGGTTCTTGAGCATTTGAAATTTGGCTAGAACGTTATATAATTTTAATTAACTAAGATTTAAACAGTCCCAAGTGGCTAGTGACTGCTGTACTGGATAGTGTTACTACGAAGTATCCATTTCCAGTTGTAAAGGCAATGGACTTAAAAAAATCTTATTAGCCTATATGATGATCATGAACTACACAAAATTATAATTTAAACTCAGAATTTCAAGAAGCTGTGAACTATTTTAACATTAAAAATAATGAATGGTGTTGATGTTTATGTCCAGGTTTTCTCTTCCCTGTTACATCGATTGCGTAAGGAGTTACGAACAGAGAGACATTGATTATTAACATTGTTGAATAATGAGGTCTACTACAATGCTCCCATAATGTGCTTGGCTACCATGCTAGGTGTATAAAATTCATCACAGGGGTATTAAGTGATTCAGGATAAATGCCAAATGAAAATATTCAGAAGCAAACATTCCTACCTTTTGTCACCTATTATTGAAAAAAGTGAGTCTACTTTCAGTTATGAGGCCTGTGGTTCAAAACATACATTCTAGCTTACTGAGCAAAGAAACCCCTCTTGAAGTTTTTGACCTAATGACTCTGTTACTTTCTTTTCTTTATTGTAATTTTGATTCCTTGAAACTAGGCATACAGAAGACTAACATGAAACATGAAAACAGCTTCTAATAAATTTTGCAAAGCATGAACATCTGCAGAAACAAACAAACAGAAAGTAATACAATAAGCAATAAACAAACAGAAACAACTTAAATGGCCCTTATAAAATGCAAAGGTTTGGGGGAGGGTCTTGGAGTATGTTCACTTACCATTAGTCCAATACCCTGGATTCAGCAGAGGTAATTACTCCAGATAATTATAACTGAGAACTAGGTCAAGAAAAAACAACTCACGAAAAAACCAATACCTTTTTCTTTGCCTGTAGAAGCTCCTGATAGGCACTGGATCTTATAAAACGTGGGTATGAATCACTTTTCATCAGTTTGTAAATGTGCTCCTAAAAAGAAATAATGGTTGAGGTGCTTCTTTATTATTTCTTGGGAAAAGTAAAATATTATGATGCCACACGTGGCTAAAGAACAAATCTAGTAGCAGCTAAAAATAGCAATAACAATGCTGATTAGAATACCTTCTATTTACAGGACATTTAGATCTTCAAATTCAATATCTCATTCATGGGATCATTGTTTAAATTGGTTTAGGAGCTACTGAGGAGGCAAATCACATCCAGTCATTAAAAAAATGGAATTTGTCAGAAAATAACCTCAGATCAAGTTGTTGACTTATATAGATCACTAGATAATATAACTAAATTTGCTATCTCTTAAAATTACTCCAGGCCTGAAGTGAGTAATGTTAACTCAGACTGAGTAATCATCCTGGATACTTTTGGCCTCTACATTTACTGGAGGGGGGCCAACTGCCCAGATGAATCGGATCATCTCTTTGGCACAAATTGCATGGAAAATTGTCTTCCATGCCCACCTTGGGTCAGAGCACAAGTCCAGAAATAAATTTTGTGATATTTAATTGCTAAGTCTCCAAATTTGTGTGCTCTTTCTTATTACTTACTCAGTGACAGATTAGGTAAATATTTGATCATTCACCCCTAAGAAGTTTGCAAAATTCTGTTTTGATGATGAATTTTGGTAGACAAAGAAGTCAAAAAAAAAGGAAAAAGTTACTCATTCAATTCAATCTTGACCCAATCTAGGGAGATAATACTCTGGTCTACTGCAGCTCAGGGAGCTAACATGTGTCTTGATCTTCCTATTCTAGTGAAATACCAGTTAGGTGTAGAGCTTGGAACTATTGGAGAGTATTCTGAATGTCCAAATTTTCTTTCTTTTTTTTTTTTTCTTGAATAAAATACATGTTTCAAGAAATGACTCCAGTTCTCTGGTCTTAAACATAACAGCAATAATTTGAAGTTACTTTAAATCCATTTAAAGACATTCAGGATTAAGTCTCCAGACCTAGCCCAAGGGTGATCTTCACAGAACGTTAAGTTTGGAACTGTATGGGAATTTGTTTGAAAAGTAGAGCAATGGCTGGTTTTGGAATGAAGCATTTTGAAATTCAGATTCTACCTTGCTCAAGAACTACCTCTTACAAATCGGGTAAATTTAGGCCAACTTTTTCATCTCTCTGATCCTTAATGTTCTAATCTATAAAATAGCATTGTTGTGATGATTAAAGGAATAATAAATGTGTTGCGAAGCATGGGGTGTGGATAGTAAGTGCTCAAATATACTTGGGTATATGGCAGGTACTCTTTTAAGTGCTTTCCTGTATTAGTTAGTGTAAGCCTTACAAACCCCCTATGGGCTTGGTAACCATTATGTCCATTTTACAGGTGAAGAAACGGAGGCATGGAGAAGTGGTCACAGAGCAGAGCCGAAATCAGAACCTAGGCAATTTAGCTAACGATAGGATTTTTTAAAAACCACAGAAAAACTAGAATTAAATATCTGAGCTTAACTGAAAAATAAATCTAGGGCCAAATAGTAATGTTTTCTATAGAAATTTCTTTTTTTCTATAAGAAAAGAGGATCCTCTTAGGCAAGAATATTTTTAAGTGACACCGATAACCAAAAAAAGTTCTTTTTTATACCTCAGGAAGGGCATTCCAAACATTTTACACTTTGTTGCCTCTAGAAAGATGCTTGACATTTTATCTTGAACTGAAAGAAAGAAAGATCAGCAGAGAAGTGAGCAGTGGGGCCAGAATTTCTGGTCTGCTCTCTGTCATGTTCTCTCTAGAGAGTAATTATTTCTACATCGGAGACCATGGCTGAACCACATGGGATAAGTATCCAGTTAGCTGTTAAAATTCATGTTAGTTTTCTACACAGTTGCTGATTTCTTTAAATGAAAGCCAAGGAGAAATGTATTTTCTATAGAGTATGGAAATAAGGAAGGATATTCGTGTATCTCCTTCTTTGTCTTCTATATTTTATTTTAGTAATGTGTGTGTTTTAAAAAGGTACTTTTTAGAATTAATATTCTTCTCCAAAAGAAGTTTAAGAAACTATGGAGTATGCACGTTCTGATTTAAAAACCAACTTCAACACATCATTAGGGAGTGGGTGCAGTGGCTCATGCCTGTAATCCCAGCACTTTGAGAGGCTAAGGTGGGAGGACTGCTTGAGCCCAGGAGTCGGAGACCAGCCTGGACAACATAGGGAGACCCACCCTGTCTCTACAAAAAAAAAATTTTTTTTAATTAGCCAGGCATGGTGGTGCATGCCTGTGGTCCCAGCTACTTGGGAGGCTGAGGTAGGAGGATTGCTTAAACCTGGGAGGCCAAGGCTATAGTGAGCCATGATCATGCCACTATAGGGAACAGAAAGAGACCTTGTTTCCAAAAATAAAATAAAATAAAACAAAATAAAATAAAATAAAATAAAATACCACATTATCAGCAAACACTATCCCCTCATAAGAAGTTGATTTTTCTTCTAGAGTATCAATATTTTTTGAGAGAAGGCAGAAATTCAAGTTGTTTTTACAAAGGGAATTAAGATCCAGTTTGAGAAAAGATGACTAACAATTTGTCTTAGGAAATTAGAATCAGTTTTCTTTATTTTTTCTTTCTGTAGGCTAAAAAATTAACTTGAAAATTTAAGAAATGTCAGAATCTAATATTTGATTTTTTTTTTCACCAGAGATAAAACTGGTTTGAGTTTGACATAACTTTAAGCTAATTCAGTTTGAATAATTTATAATAATGAATAATTCAGGAATGTCAGAGTCTTGGAATCTCTACATTGAAGATGCCTTAAAGATTTTAAATCTTTTTAAAAACATGTTTTAAAAAATCTTTTATTGAGATGGGGGCCATCACTAGATAGTGTTTGCTCACTTATTGGGGGAACAGAGTAGAAAATGAAGTAAAAGTTTTAAAATATTTCAAATATGTCCCTTCATATAAAAATATTCAAACTTAGAAAATATTCCCAGGTTTTAAAAAACTATTCAGTTTAATGTGTCTTTGTTCCTTCCTAAATCAGTTAGAGTTGTTTCACAGTTATCTAAATTGAAAATGTTAGAAATAGCTGCCATTTATAATGAAAATAAAATGAATATACCCAATGATCACCTTCTCAGAAGCACATTTGTGACGTGAAGCCCACCGTACACCCACCTGAGCATCTTCAAATGTGTATCGTCCAGGTTCCTTCACGTTCTGTGTGGTTTTGTCATAACTCTTGGAATCCAAGTTAATGGCACTGGGGGCTCCAGGAGCCAGAAACTCTTGCCATATTTCCTGAACTCTTGAGGGCACTTCTTTAATAGGCCTCTTTTTCAGGTCCTCCACTGCCAGCCAGAATCTATGCAAAATGTGAGATCAGGTGTTTACTCTGACGGCCCATCAGCTGAAAATCCTTGTGATATTTACGGATCATGCAGTTCATCATGATGACTCACAGCCAACTCACTTTCTCTGAGGGCTTCCAGTATCAGGGTGGTACTGACTATATTCAAAGGTATAATCTTCTTTGGAAGGAATTATGAAAAACAATCTCTTTTAAGTGTTTGTTGTTAAAAGCAGATCTGTCAGAGCCCTGTATAACATTCATTTTACCTAAGGAAAGTAGCACTGCTAACTGTTTCTTGAAAACGAAGAGGAGTTTGAAGGGAATTAAAGGTGCAGGACATGGAGCCTCCAATTGGGAGACAAAGCCATGCACTGTGTTCTTTGGATCTTCTGTCCATTTGAGCAATGGGGGCTAGTGTGGAGAGCCTTTTCTGTTCTAGCTTGTAAGGGAATTACAAAGAAGCTTCGCTGGAGTTAAAAGAGGCCTGGACATAAGATCAGAAAATTCCCTGGCTGGAAAAATAAAAACAATTAACTAATGATAAGCTAATTTAATTGAGAGAGTTATGGAATGACCGACGCAGCAAGCTTTCACATGGAATTACTGGAAAAGTTTAAATGTGTAGAGGCATCACTGCAATTCAGAAGCCACAGAAGAATATATACTGACTTACTTCTGAATACAGACTATATTTATAGTATATATATACTGAAGGAACCTGGGAGTGTGTTTTGGTTGATAATAGCAAGTGGTAAAGTCTAGTGAGAAGGGGCCACATTGTATTAACTGGTTGCATTTCTTCAATATTGTGCTCTAGGTTAGAGCTTGCTGGTTAGATCTCCAGAAATAATGTTTAAAAGATAAATGACTATATCATAATTTGTTAATAGAAACAAACACTCTACGTGAAAAAGTTGCTGCTAGGACTGTGTTATCCTCCGTAAACACTCTTACTGCTCTAATAGCAGATGCAGTCAAGGAAAGGCAAAGATGGCCACAGAGTCTGAACAGAGGTGATCAGCAGTACCTTCGTAACTACTAAGCTTTAACTTGACCATTAATGAATAATCAGAAATCAGTAATGAAGTGCATGAGCTAGAATTAGAATATCGACTACTACTCAGGCTAGTGATTTTTGAGTTTTCATTTCCAGACTTTGTTTTTTAATAGATATATATAACAGAGGATAATCTAACTTTGACAACACCTCAAACAGGAAACTACCACCATGACTTTTAGAAAGGAAGGCTCAAGACCACTCCCTCTTAAAACACAGATTTAGACACTGTGCACTCTAATAGGAATACTATGCAAGCCTGGGCGTGGTGGCTCACGTCTGTAATCCCAGCACTTTGGGAGGTCGAGGCGGGCAGATCATCTGAGGTTGGGCATTTGAGATCAGCCTGGCCAACATGGTGAAACCCTGTCTCTACTAATAATAGAAAAATTAGCTGGGCATGGTGGTGAACACCTGTAATCCCAGCTACTCGGGAGGCTGAAGCACGAGAATCACTTGAACCCCGGAGGTGGAGGTTGCGGTGAGTCAAGATCATGCCACTGCACTCCAGCCTGGGCAACAAGAGCAAAACTCTGTCTCAAAAAAAAAAAAAAAAAAAAGGAATGCTATGTGTAATCCGAGGGAGCAGGAGTTTTGAAATTAACATCTGCTCAGACAAGTTCATTCCAGCACACTTTGAACACATCAATCAAATCAAAGTCTCTGTCCTCAAAGAATGAGTAGAGGAAAAGATAAACCATTTAAATGGCCGTAACACCAGGAAGTACATGAATGGCTCTCCAGGAAGAGAATGAACTAGATAGTCTGGGAATGGCAAGCAGGAAAGACTCCCTCTGCTGGGGTAAGTGCTGGATTGGAAAAGGGGGATCTAGAAAAAGCTATTCTAAATCCAGTGACATCTGAAATGGGCCTGGAAATAAGCATAAAATATAAAAGGGTTGAGAAGTTAATAACCACACCTACACTGACATGTAGGTGCAGGCACTGCTCTAAGTGATTCACATATTAACTCATTTAATTCCCACAGTAACTCTATAAAGCAAGTTCTATTATTCCCCTCATTTTAGAGAAGAGGAAACTGAGCATATGAAGATGAAGTTGCTTATTTAAGGTTGCTCACTATTAGTGTCACGGCTGAGGTTTGCCCCCAGAAAGTCTGCAGCAGATGACATGCCCAAAAGCACTCCCTCACATGGTCTTTCTAACAGCATCGTTGCCTTTCTTAGTCTCACCATTACTGTAATTATTGTAATAGCTTAATAGCATGGAGGAACCAGGTGCAATGGCGTGCACCTGTGGTCCCAGCTACTCAGGAGGCTGAGGTGGGAGGATCACTTGAGCCCAGGAGTTCAAGCCTGCTGTGAGCTATGATGGTGTCTCTGAACTGCAGCCTGGGTGTCAGAGAAAGATCCCATCTCTCTTAAAAAAAAAAAAATCCTATATCCTTTATTTCCTGGTAGCTGGAACCTAAGTAAGTATTTTTAATGTCTTTGATTCTTGATTTC